GAGCATAAAGATGAAATTTCTACATGCTATTAGCTAAGTATACTAACTAAGTATACATAACTATTCTTAACTCGGGGTAAGTATACTTAGCTAATAGCACATAGGAATTCCATCCTTATGCACATCCGATTTAAGTACACTCGAAATGCCCAGTTAACTCCACTAGTACAAGAGGGGCTACTAAAGGGATCCAACTGTACCGACCTCCTGCCGTTATGGCAGTAAGGAAAGAGTGTCCATAAGGACTGGCCGACAAGTATCTTTCGATACCCAAAGTCACATTCGCGACAATATTGAACCTCTATAGATCGTTTTTTAAGTCGTTCTCTTTGGTTGTTTACAATCCACCACATTTCTCTGCAAGTTCACGCCTCCATGAATAACAGTTGAGAGCCATAGCTCTTCCGAGAGCTCTGCTCTCTTGACAATCTAGCTCAGTTGGAGCAAATTAGACATGCTAGATGTCAATCAACATGTGCTGTGATTCCCCTATCCAACTAACAAAGTCTGACCCAAGACCCCTCTGATACCAAATATAAACTCTTGAGTTTGGACTTCCTAATAGGTCATCTAGCCTAGTACTACTCAAACTTAAGAACACGTAACTTTAAGTATCCGAAGACCCTTTAACCGATTGAAAAAAGAGATGCACTCTTATTTATAGGCCCTTTCCCTCTATATTGAACCCCTGTAAATAATTTCTTGAGTTGTTGTCTTTGGTTGCTTACAGCAGTGTGATGATGATCAAGACTGAGATATTGCTGTGAGACACAAAATCCCTAGGCCCCAAAGTGGAGCTGGAAAGGGTGCCACGTGGTAGTGGCCGAAGTGAAAGCTAAACGAGTGTAACACGTTTGGACTAAAAGCTTTGACTTGGAAGGCCGAGAGCGGGAGTGGAATGTGAGACACAAAATCCCTAGGCCCCAAAGTGGAGCTAGAAATGGTGCCACGTGGTAGTGGCCGAAGTGAAAGCCAAACAAGCGTAACACGTTTGGACTAAAAGCTCCGACTTGAAAGGTCAAGAGTGGGAGTGGAACTCCCAACAAAGTGCTCGAGGAACAAGCACGAAGCGAGCAATAAGCGAGGCTCCAAAAGGGGACCCAAAAAGGACTAACACATGACACGTGGAAGTGTCTGGGATGGAGTCCGAGACGGACCCTAGTTGGAGTCTGAGATGGACCCAAAGTGGAGTCCGATATGGAGTCCGAAGTGGAGTCCGAGATGGAGTCCGATATGGAGTCCGAGATGGACCCGAAGTGGAGTCCGATATGGAGTCCGAAGTGGAGTCTGAGATGGAGTCCGATATGGAGTCCGAGATGGACCTGAAGTGGAGTCCGATATGGAGTCCGAGGTGGACCGAGACGGGGTCCGAGATGGACCCGAGATGGAGTCCGAGATGGACCCAAGATGGAGTCCGAGATGGAGTCCGAGATGGAACCGAGGCCGAGGCTGAGACCGAGGCCGAGACTGAGACCGAGACCGAGTCCGAGTCCGAAACCAGGACTGAGACTGAGTCCGAGTCCGAGTTCAAGCCCGAGTCCGAGTCCGAATACTAATACAGGCAGTTGGGTGAAAGCCCAAAACGATCGTCCCCCAGGGAAGGGGGAGGACTGCAGTGGAGCCAGTTTGGCCAGGAAAGGCCAGTTTGGCCCAGGAAGGCCAGACCCAGTGTTGGGTGAGGAGCTGACCACTGGGAAGTCCAAGACTAGAGTGAACATGGACCGACAAGCGGGGTAGCTTGGTGAAGTGTTCAAGAGCCAGCTCTAGTTCCCCCGGGAGATCGACTGGCCGATGCTCCCAGTCCAAGTGTGGGTGGCACTACCTACTTGGATACTAGGCGTGGCTCAACGGAACCTCACTCTAAGCCCATGGCTAGAGCACCTAAAGGCGAAAGGTGGGGAGAGTACCCAGGTGGCTCGCGTAAGGCCACGGTGTTTCGAAATGTTGTCCCAAAGGCCTAGACTGTGGAAAGGAAGAGGAGCAGTCCCCTGGGGTAGTGACCAAGGACACAGTCGTGTGGTGAGGAAGTCCCAGAGGACCATGGGACTTAGTGGTCAGGCCTGTGGGCCTCGATCCAGTGGCAGTGTTGGCAAACACGGCCAGGGGCAGAAAGGGACTTGGTAGGAACTGACAAAGGGACTTTGGGGAAGGTGATTCCCCAGGTCTGTGGGCATCCTAAGGATGCTAAGGAGTGGATCCAGGATGACCACTCGTGGACAGATGGCCCAGTCCTGGAGAGACGGGATAGTGATGCAAGTGGTATTGGACCACTAGTGCAGCAAAGGTGAATGGGCATGGCCTTAGCGTAACGGGCCGAGATGTCAGTGGTACCTTTGGGTGTCGGTCTTGGGACCAGACACGTGGAGCACTTGGACCAGGTGTAAGTGTGGAGTGGCATGGATGCCATTCTTGGGGCTAGCAAATCCCAAGTCCTGAATTGGACTGATGGAGGTTGTGAATGAGACTCCTCCAAGTGGTCGGAGGTGTGGTTAAGTGACTAAAGTAGAATGGAAAATTTAGTCGCTTACAATTGCACCTTGCTCAGGAAGTGCTATACATCATTCACACACTTTGGAATAGGAAACTTAAGAACAACTACAAATTTATCAAGATTAACTTACAAACCCTCACAAGAAATATGGTACCCAAGATAAATAATGTTTTTGGACCTAAATATGCACTTCGATAGCTTCAGTTTTAAACCAACTTCCCATAATCAATCTAACATATTATGAACATCATGGATGTGTTCCTTTTACATCCCCTCCGAATGAATCAAGACATCATCAATGAATTCAATTGTCACTTTTGGCATATTGCAAAGAATCTCATCCATCATCTACTAGAAAGTTGTTGAAGCATTATTTAAACCAAATGGCATCACCAAAACTTATATAGACTAAATAGTGTATGAAAAATAGTTTTAAAAATATCCTCTTCAGCCATCGGCATTTGTTAATACCTAGAAATAAGATCTCCTCAAACAATCTAAGAAATCAACAATGTGAAAAAGAGGATAAATATATGGAATTAATATTTTATTTAATGGATGATAATTGATATAGAAATGAATACTCTCATCAAGCTTCGTCATAAGATGAGGTTCACATGCTTAAAGATTCTACAACTTTTGAATAACACCCTTTTCCAACATCTCTTTGACGTTGACACATAAAATCTTGATCTTTTTTAGTGACCAAAAAGAATAAGAACCTTGATTGAACGAGCATCTCGAGTTAGAATATGATGATATGTCACAATCTTAACCCTAGTCAACAGATCAAATTCAAAAAGATTGGCATACTCCATGAGTCAATCAACCACTACAACACAAAAACTATTAGAGGGATTTAAAAAGGGAATAGAGAAATAGATAGAAACAAAAGAGGAAGTAAAGGTAAAAATGAGAGATAAAAATGATAGAAGCAGAGGGACTAAGAGGAACAAAAATGAGAGGAATATAAGAAATATTAAAAAATATAAGATAAAGAGGAGAAGTCTCAAAATCACACTTAGTATAATTGTATTGCAACAAATGCATATCAAGGATAAGGTCACCCGTAACAACTATAACTCAAGTTTGAGATTGCTTATAAACACAATTAAGTCCACCTCATCTCGCATATATATATGTGTATGGCCATTGTCATAAAGAATGAAAACTAACTTTGCTATATAATGCAAATGTAGATGGCAATATGTAGCAATAAACCAAGCAATAGAAGATAATCTCAAGTTTGTATTAATTGGAGAGAATAATAAAAAACCTCTTGTTATAAAAACAAGCTTAGAAGTAAATATTAGATGAACTAATGCTAAATGAACCCTTTGATGAATAGCTATCAAAATCCCACTAGGCTAATATTAAGATACGGTATTATAACTATACATTTGGACATCACATCATCCCCTCTTAAAATGATGAAAGACAATCAAGGTTCTCTAGATGTTTTTCTTGATGATTGGGCTGGAAAGACACATAAAACAAGGTTAAGAACTAGCAAACCCAAACCACACAGACCAATGAGCGATTGTTATGGTGTTGATCAAGCTGGAGAAAGAATAGCAAGATCAAAAACTATCAACTAGACAGAGAAAGCAAACCTGGGGCATGTCTTTGAACAAAAGTTTTGTTAGCAACCAAAGACACTCCACACCACTGCCATGAACTAGCCAGGTGATGTGTTTTTGTTGAACAACAATGTTTCCACAGGAATCTTTGCAAGAACTCCTCCAAGGATTGGCCCCGCAACCATTCCCAGGGTCTGGGTGAGAATGAATGAGCAAGCTTGTGCACATTGTCTGCCTTTGAATACCAACAATACAGGGATCTGTACAATACCTTTTCACAAAGAACCACCCAGTAAAACCAATCCCATTTACCATATGCCCCACCAGAATGAGGTAGAGAACTTTGGTCCGGTCTGCAAGATGATATGGCCAAGAAGCAGGGAAACCGATGACAAGTCTAGAGTTGTGCCATACTTTCTCTCAAATTTTGGCAGGTTGGAGAGTGGAATCACCATGATAGATGAGACGAGAGTTACCACTCCCACAGTCAATCCGCTGAAAAGAGGTCCTCCACCCAAATGTTTGGCATTTGATTGACTTCAGCATTTGAGTTTATATGGAAATGAAATCACCTACATGATGTGGCCGTGGGTACAATAACAAAGAACATGTTAAAAAGGAAGTTTGCATAGAGAATGATGCATAGAGATACTAAAGGAGGAGCTGAAGCTTGGTTGCCATCCTTGCTCTTGGAATCAATGACAAACACCTTTTTAAAATAATCCTAAACCTTTGTTTGGCCTAATCTACTCCCGGAGACATTAATCATTTTGGCAATGGTCCTCCTTCCTGACAAATTTCTCACTCTTTACAGCCTAATTAGTTTGTGAATGCCATTAAAATTTTGCATAAGCTATAACTGGCTTCATTTTGGTTCACTTAATCGACAATTGTACATTTGACCACCACCAAAATGTCTGTGGGCGAAATTCTCAGTCGCTTCTCAGTCGCACAAGGATAACTCTCGATCAGTGGAGGATTCAGTGTCAAGCACTGGCAGCATAGCAGATTCCGCGTTCTTTGAGGACCAGGAAAGACCTTACTTGCAAGAACTTCTATGGAAGGAAAGTTCGTGACAAGACAACATAGGGAATGGTGGGCGCCAACCAAGATCATTGCTTCGCGAATGTGAGCACGAAATCGCTATCATTGCTTCGCGAATGTAGGCATGAAATCGCTATACTGTTCCAACTGATGTGGAAAGAGGCAGAGCGAGACATCGATGCCGCCATCCACGGGCACAAACATGACGGTGCTCGTCTCTGGATCGAGCGGGAACACCGCGCGGCACGGCTTGCCCCACCCGAAATCCAGCTCCCGCGCGCCCAGCATCGCGCGCGGCCACGCGTTGATCCCCACGTCGCAATTCCCCGACGAGTACCAGAAATTGCGATTCTCTTCCAGGAAATCCCACCCGGATCGCAGGTACTCGTCGGTGATCTGCGCGCGCGCGCGCTGGATCTCGATCACCGCCGCCCCCAGCGGCTCGCCCACCAAATCGCGCTGCGTCATCTCCGCGTGAGCCCAGTAGATCGCGTTCCCCACGAACGTCGCGTCTAGCGGCGGCTGTACCGTGCGGCGGATGTCCAGTACGAATCGAAGCCGCGAGGTCTCCTCAGGCACCTTCTTGGAGTACCGCGCGGCATACCGCCAGACGTACGCCGCCAGCGCTTCAAACGTGGTGCAACCGCGCGGTACACTTAGAAGCACGCTGTTCTTGAGATGGGTTAGTGTTTCAAATGAGAAATGAAAGGCCTTGCGTCGCTTGATCTCTCCTGACGCTCTCTTGGATCGCTCGCCGACGCAAATGGCGGATTCCAGCGTGATCGCATAGCGGCTGGAATCCAGATTTGGGTGATGGATGAATTCATGGTGGGGGAAGCTGGGTTGGGGAGGATGCCTGGCCTTGAAGACGCTGCGATCGGAGTTGGGATGGAAGAGGAGACCAGCGCCGCGAGCAATCGATGCCAGATTGGAGAGAAAACTGATCCCCGAGGTAGCGTCGGTGATGGCGTGATGGCACAGCACACCGATAGCAAATCCAGTGTCGCCGCTCAATCCAGTCACCTACATCCAAAACGTATAAAGAAGAGCAAAACGATCGATGACGTTCTTTACCTGGATCGTGAGCATTGGGAGCTCTTCGATCGATCGAGCGTCCACTGGGAAGCAAAAGAAAAGATGGGAGATGGAATCCATGGAAGCGAGCAAGCCCTCGAGGCGGAGATCAGCTCTAGCACTAGCCAGGATCGCCCCAGAGTCATCGCAGCGGATCTCAAGCTTTTGTGTGAGATGGTTTCGCTGAAACCTCCCGGAGAAGAAATCATGGCTCACGAGAAGTTCTTCCATGGCGTGCTTGATCCCGGAAGAGACCACCTCGGGATCTTCGGGGCCCGAGAAAACAAGGAGATTGCGCTGGTAAGCTCCAAATCGCTGGTCGATGCTGCTGAGAAACATGATCCTTGGTGAAATAGCATCGTCCCTCACGATGGATTTGGATTTGGATTTGACTAGCAACACTTTCTCCACACGAACTATAGGAAGTTTGCTCTCGTATTTTGGAGCTATTTCCATCTGAGCCTTCAGATTGGACAATTACTAACTATATGAAGTGGACATGTGAAATTCTTTGGCGACAAAGCTGCCAATTTATAGTCAAAGATTGTTCAAAAAGAACTCGACTTCTTTGACTTACTGTGGCACACGATTATCACGTCTTGATCATGGCGACGAATTTTCAAAGGCAACTCCAACATTCCATGAGTGTTCAATTTTCTCTTCTTTCTTCTTGTTCCTTTTCTACATAAGTTTTTTATTTAAGCAAGCCATGATCAACGTAGTAAAAGCCTGTGAATGTGAAGCTCAAATTGGGAACTAATGGTTTGATTTAGGGCATTTCCAGGGATTGGTCACTCTCATTCACATGCAATCGAAAGCACTTTCCTATACTATATAATAACGTTTTCTTCTTGGGTTACATATTCTTAACATGATTACTAAAACACTAAAAACAACTTAAAGAGAAAGTAACAAGTATGACTTGCATGTTGTCAAATAGCTCAAGCTCACTATAAAAATATTATGACTAATTCTATCAAAGATTATTCATATGACAATGATTATATGATTGCATATGTGAGTATTATATATTTACACATGTGTGATTTATTTTATTTTGTTTTGAGTTGCAAAAATATTATGCACACAATCACTTTTTGATTGCTATAATAGCAATTGAAAACTTGATTGTCTGTATAATATTTACATGCCATGTATGTATGGGGCATGACATGGCATGTCATTCCATACAAAGTGATGTCACCAAGAATACATTGAGAGCAGATTTTGAGCATGCAATTGGGCAGTGGTGCAGTGGTGTTGTACCAGAAGGGGTTGAAGAAGAGCTTGATGGTGGCTGGGAGCACAGCAAGCTCCAGGTTGTTAACCACAAGTCACTTGAACTTGTACTTGTATCCTAGGGAGATCTTAGTACAGCTCAAGGAGCACCAAAGGCCTATATTGTGTCTAGTGCATTGGAAGATCTTTCCTTAGATGGCGACTGAGTAAGATCTTTGTCAGTGAGACACTATTGAAAGCATGATAGTTTTTACCACCACCACCATAATCACTACCAGGATGAGAGCTTGGACTAGAACTCAAGTCATCAGAATTCCAAAGGTGGTGGTGGTTCCCATAGAGTTTACTATGAAGAGAGCTTGGACTATAGCTTGAGCAAATGTGACAGTAGGAAAGATGAGAGCATGTTAGAGGTCAACCACTTGATAAGTTATCTGGAAGTTGAGGAAGTTATTGAGAACTTTGGGATCAATCTCAAGCCTCTTAACTTGGGGGTTGTCAGATGGCACAATCTGTTTCATTCGAGAGCATCCAAACTTCCAGCCGTTGCTCTAGACTCCAAGGATGATTTCTTTTCCAGGACTGTCACTGAGTCTCATACAATTGTTGGTTTCTGTTTATCTCAATTGCTTACTGCACTTGTAAATATGTAGCAACAAAAGAGAGACCTTTGTCTGGAGGCGCCAACCAGTCAAACTGCATGGCTTGCCAGCTCTTGTGAGACTCAGGACTGCCAAAGCTTAAGCATTTCTCCATGAAGAAGTATGAAACAGCTGGTGAAGATTTTATTAATTCTACTCCATGCACATTTATTGAAAGATTGTCAGATGAAGAATTCAAAAGAGCCCAACCTTGAGTCTATTTTTTAATTCTTAGCCAAGTTTTACCACCCTCATTTCTTTTTGTGTTTATGCAAGTGAGAGCCATTCTCCTCTTTTCATATGGATAGTTTGGTACTGCCAGCAAGAAGGCAATTGTCCAATATGGGAAGATTGACCATGTGGCTTCATTTCCTTTTCTTTTAAAAATGCACTAAATGGTTTGTCAAGGTTTGTTGAGTGCAAAAAGTGTGGAACAGAAGCTTTCACTATATGTTTGTGGAGATCCATACATCTAACGAGAGATTGTATGCACTATCTAGAGCAAGGTAAATGGCAGTCTTTTTTTTTTCTCACTCAACATTTTATTTGCAGATAAAACAAATAAAAATGTATTTGTTGATTGCATCAAAGATTGATTTCCATTGCATGGTATGATGTAACATATATGTTTTTCACCCTTTACCCTATAGTGATTTATTATAGATGGAGCCTTGGCCATATGTTCAAGAGCAACAGAGCAAAACCCAAGGTTTAGAGCCTTGTGTAAGCGACTAAATTTTCCATTCTATTTTAGTCACTTAACCACACTTCTGACCACTTGGAGGAGTCTCATTCACAACCTCTATAAGTCCAATTCAGGACTTGGGACTTGCTAGCCCCGAGAATGCCATCCATGCCACCCAACATTTGCACTTGGTCCAAGTGCTCCACGTGTCCGATCCCATGACCGACACTCAAAGGTACCACCGACATGGCAGCTTGTCACGCTAAGGCCATGCCTAATCACCTTTACCACACTAGTAGTCCAATACCACATGCATCCCAGTCTTGGCTCTCCAAGACTAGGCAAACCATCCGTGAGTGGTCATCTCAGATCCACTCCTTAGCATCCTTAGGATGCCCACCGACAAGGGGAATAGCCTTCCCCAATATCCCTCTGTCAGTCCCCACTAAGTCCCTTTCTGCCCCTGGCCGTGTTTGCCAACACTGTCACTGGATCGAGGCCCACAGGCCCGACCACTAAGTCCCATGGTCCTCTGGGACTTCCTCACCATACGACTGTGTCCTTGGTCACTACCCCAGAGGACTGCTTCTCTTCCTTTCCACAGTCTGGGCCTTTGGGGACAACATTTCGGAACACCATGGCCTCACGTGAGCCTCCTGGGTACTCTCCCCACCTTCCGCCCTTGGGTGCTCTAGCCATGGGCTTAGAGCGAGGTTCTGTTGAGCCACGCCTGGTATCCAAGTAGGTAGTGCCACCCACACTTGGACTGGGAGCATCGGCCAGTCGATCTCCCGGGGGAACTAGAGCCGGCTCTTGAACATTTCACCAAGCTACCCCGCTTGTCGGTCCATGTTCACTCTAGTCTTGGACTTCCCAGTGGTCAGCTCATCACCCAACACTGGGTCTAGCCTTCCTAGGCCAAACTAGCCTTTCCTGGCCAAACTGGCTCCACTGTAGTCCTCCCCCTTTACTATACTTTTGGAGCTCACCAAACCCCCTAGGGTCTGGGAGACGAACACTTTGGGCTTTCACCCTCTCAGACTCGGACTCGGACTCAGACTCGGACTCGGACTCGGACTCGGACTCAGGCTTGGGCTCGGTCTCAGCCTTGGCCTCGGTCTCGGTCTTGGTCTCAGTCCCAGTCCCGGTCTCGGTCTCGGTCTCGGTCTCGGTCCTGGTCTCGGTCTCGATCTCGGACTCCATCTCGGGTCCTTCTCGGACTCCATCTTGGACTCCATCTCGGACTCCATCTCGGGTCCATCTCGGACTCCGTCTCGGTCCACCTCGGACTCCATCTTGGACTCCATCTCGGGTCCATCTCGGACTCCATCTCGGGTCCATCTCGGACTCCATCTCGGGTCCATCTCGGACTCCGTCTCGGTCCACCTCGAACTCCATCTCGGACTCCATCTCGGGTCCATCTCGGACTCCATCTCGGACTCCATCTCGGGTCCATCTCAGACTCCGTCTTGGTCCGTCTCAGACTCCATCTCGGACACTTCCACGTGTCATGTGTTGGTCCCTTTTGGGTCCCTTTTTGGAGCCTTGCTTATTTCTCGCTTCGTGTTCGCTCCTTGAGCACTTTGTTGGGAGTTCCACTCCCGCTCTCGACCTTCCAAGTCAGAGCTTTTAGTCTAAATGTGTTACACTCGTTTGGGTTTTTGCTTTGGCCACTACTATGTGACACCCTTTCCGGCTCCACTTTGGGGCCTAGGGATTTTGTGTCTCACAACTCCACCACCCATAAACGAAGTTTGATGTCCTCATCGAACGGTAAACCATTTTATAAAGTAACACCCGCATGTGTTACCATTTCCATCCTTGGCACCTAGCTAATATTTGTCAATGGTTTGACATTGAAGGCTCACCATGCCTTCTCCATATTTGTCAATGGTTTGACACCAAAGGCTCACCATGCCTTGCCCATCCTCTAAGGAGGATAGTCTCTCCAACTTAGAGACTCACTTGACCACTTGGGGTGGGTTGCTCCTTTTTATTGGTTCAGTCCTCGCTAAACCTGTTAAAGACACCCTCTCTAACTCAATTCCACTACTCATTTTTGAGTAGTCCCAGATTCCATTAATCTACCTTTGCACTTTGGAACGTTTACTTTTGACTTCTTGAAGTCAATTTCCTAGGTGTCTCTGACACCTTGCTTTGCACATTTTGTGCAACTCCACTTCCCCTCCTAGGAAGTTCTCTACTCGAGGGCACCCTCATCCTCTTTTCTATTTTTGTGCCCCTATTAGCATTACGTTCCATTCATCATTATTTGTGCTAGGGCTGTCCACGGCCCTATCTTTTGGCTACTTAGTTGCTTCCTCACTTGGAGCCTTTCCTTTGCCAAATTGGAGCACTTGGGAATCCATCCTTAGAAGTCCACTTCTTTTTCCGCAATCCGTTAGCATCAACCACATTAGTGTTCCTTGGCTAACTTTGCCACTTGGATTCTTTCCAATGGATTCCACGGCCCTATCATGGGCACTCGTCTTTTGCTCCTATCCTTGGATTGTTGCACCAAGCAACATAGGATCATTACTTCCATTTTTGAGGTTTCCTTTCAGTTCCATAGCAAACATTTTGCTTTGCCAAGTCCAAAGGGTGTTCACCCCTAGTACGTCTGTTTAACATTTTCTGTCGTGAGCTCTATCCACGGCCCAACTTTTTGAGACCCTCCCTTGGATCTTTTATAGAGACTACTTTCCTTGGACTTACTATGCTATAGCATTGACATAGCTCATTTCCCTTAGATGTTCTTCCCACTTGGTCACCTCAACCTAGTGATCTTATCTTAACCCCTTAATAGGTCTATCAATAGGGACTAGGTCTTCCAGACCCTTCTAAGTTGTTGACTATGACCCCGGGGGCATCCCCCACACTTGGCAGTGCGCCCAAGCCAGCCCTTCCGGC